GATAACAATTTCGTACGCACACGCAACTCCCTGTTCGATCAACTATTTGCAACGAGGAAGTAGCGGTAGAGTTGACGTTACGGGTTCGATGTGTTACGTGTTCAGCGAATTCGCGGTTGACGAAGAGAAACGACAGCCAACTACCACTGTACAGTCGTACTATACAGTATACTTACCACCCGTTATAGTACTACTGCTGCGTTACTACGATTACTAGTCAACACCATTGGGACACTGTAAATACTGATTAAAAACGTTACGCAGTTCCTCGCCGAGATCTACTGCAAAACTTTTGGGAAACATCGTTGTCACAGATTAGCCGGAAATAAGTACATGGCATCTGTTTCGAGCGGTTCGCTCTGATCGAGTCAGTAAAATCGAAACAGATGTATCGCAATGTTTATACTACGATTCTGATGATTCACGGCAGAGACGATGTGTTCTGCATAAAAATCTGTATTCTAATTACGACGAATTTCCCGAAGCTTTCGCACAGACGTACAAAAAACGACACGATCCACTGACTCATTGACACGCGATTACCCACGCGCGACCAGTACACGAATTTCTCGACATAATTATCCGACAACGTCGATTCAGAATTGCGAAATCGAATCGATCCCGTTTACGTCACTTCGTCTCTTCGCGACCCCACGGCTCTCTTCTTCGCTCTTCTTCGACCCCATCGCGTTTCTTTCTCTCTCTTTCTCTCTCTCTCTCTCTCTCTATCCCCTGTCCTCGACCGTATCATTCTCTCTGTCTCGACTCCCCTGTACTTGAATCAACACCTTCTCTCTCAGACACACGAAACGACCAAGTTTTTACTCGGTGCGTACGCGTACGCACCTCCACCGGACCCGTACTCACGTACTTTCTCAGTCTTTATACGTCTGTCTCTAATTTTTCTTACTCACCACAATTACACACGTTCTTCGTTGGATTGTGTTCTTTTACTTCGTAGCCAAACACGAAGCTTCTAGCTGTGTCGCTTTAACGGTGAACGTGTAATACATATTATTGTTCATGCCACCCCTTGAACACGATCAACCGTAATAGACGGATCGTTTATATACGTGTGCCACGTGTATGTATATAAATATGTGTACCACGCGTACCTCGTTTTATCGTTTCTTCTCTAGCGTAAAAGAACAGCCCAGACGAGTGTCCATCGTTCGTCTGTAGCGGTAGATGTTTGTCTCTCTTTCGCTCTTTCTATAAATATCTTCCTTTCTGTCTTTTAATCTCTTTATTTCCCTGTCTCTCTCTTTCTCTCTCTGTGGATGTGTATACAGCGTACGTATGTGCTCTGTACGCACACGTGTCTGTACACGCGGTCGGACGAAACCATGTTCGTACACTTTCGATTTGTGCCACATTGTTCAAGATTAAAATTTAATTGGAAACGTGGACGACTTTTCAACCGATCGCGCGTGCACACACGTATGTATATACCGTTCTCTCTTTTACCTATGATTTCGAATCCCTCTGCATCGAACGTAATCTTCGTCGACCGTCGTCTTACCAAGTATGTAGGCATTTAATTAACTGCCCTCCGCTTGTCCTAGCGAATTCTTATCAAACGCCGTCGCCGTGTACATATATTACTATTATTATCGTTATTATTATTGTTATCATCATCATCATCATCATCATCATTATTATTATTATTTCGTCGTTGTCATCGTCATCGTACATATATATATATATATAAATATGTATTGTAATCGTATATAAACGTGCGACAGATGTTAGAATCAGATCCGGGTTCGAGTCGGAACGAAATAGCGCGCTAATCCCGCGCGAACCGATGCACTCGACACTCGTTTCTCTTTCTATTCTACGTACAGCAGGCTTGTCAAACTCGTTAACCACCGTCAGAGATATTAAATCACGGGCCGCAAAACAGAAGGAGAACATTTTTAATACTCCATCTTTCCGCAGTTTTATTACTCTTTAAAATGGAAAATAGTTGTTGGCACAAATTGGTTGACGATCTTGGCGGACTCCGCGTGTTTGACATGCCGTTTTCGTTTTCGAATCTGCGCCAAAAGGACATCATTTTCGAACAGTGTTTTCTTTTTTATTAATCAATAAAATGCGTTGTCTACGAACACGACTTTCACGTCGTTTCACGCGTGGAGGTCGTAAAGAGAAAAAGATCGTAGTCGATTGGCTCTACTAGTCGTCTCGCTGGAGCGCGTTAGCTCGGTCATAAGCTCACCTCTCGTTTCACCGTTGATTTCCTCCGCGATCTCACCCTTCGCTTTATCTTTTCGTCGTTACATTTTCGTTTGAATTTTACCGTGACGCCCGAGGTGTTCGTTGGTGATCGATCGCGACCGAACTACGAGCATCCGTCGGAGAGTCGAGAATCTCTCGTCCGCGGCTCGTCCAACTCCTCGGATTGCTCGTTCGCGCGAACGTACACCTCGGGCAGAATTATTTTCGTTCATAGATAAGTACAGAGTTTTTATTTTTATTACCCCCTGGCACGTTTTGTCGCACTATTTTAACGAACGTCGATGGTACGGCGACACGACACACCGTCGTCGAGAGCCGATGATCGCGAGAAACGATGTGGCAAGGCGTGCCCGAGGTCTGCTTGTTTGTCTCTGAATTGATTTCGCAGTTGTTCACGCGCATCACTGAACGATCTTTCATTTCCGTTAACGTGTGGGCCCTTCGACCCTGTCGTAGAGCGAGGAGGTCGCAGCGAACACTCTGACGATGTTAGACCATCAAGGCGGTAAGCAGTTCTCTCAGCAATAAGCAAACAAACTAAAAAACTAAAATGAAAGAACAATAAGAGAAATCCTTTATTTTCAACCAACGACTGATCGAAAGTTTCAAACAGAGGTAAAAGAAAGGCGAGAGCAAACTGGCGAGAAACGAATGGGATACTTCGGGTCTTCGAAAAACAGTGGATGAAAAAATAAGAAATGAAACCACGGAGTACGACGAACAAAACTTTTTCGGTTGACTCGTTATATCGGTTTCGCGTGTTCATTCTTTTGTTTCGCTCTCGCGGAACATCTCGCGTATATACAGGGGACACTTGCCATTCTGACGAGACTCGTTTTCGTCGTGACACACTTGGACACGATCCGCGAGTCGTTTCATCGAGGCGTACGCGTGCCTCGGTAGATCCGTCGTCGTCGAATCCGGGAAGAAACGTAACATTCTGGCGTCTTTGCCATTCTCTCGTAAACGGGTGCAGTGCGAATCTTATACGTTCGCGAAGGGACAGGGGTAGTCAGCGTAGAGATACGTAAACGCTGCGAGCGATGCGTAAGAATACACGGAGTGCTGAAAAAATGCTTTGTTCGATGGTAAAAGATCGTTTCGGTTCGCGCAAAGATCGACCGTCTAGTAACAACGGGTGGTATCGTTCGATACGTTCGACGACTGACTCGTAGCCACGGCTAGAAAGATGTGTTACCGATTTGGAATCGCGCGCGGCGCTGATAACTACGTTCGAGAACCAAGCGCGGGTCTTCCGCATTCTGATCTCTTTTTTCTGTCCTTCAGCTAAAGCAACCTTCTGATTCTCACAATCTTATAGCGCCACGGCAACCCCTGGGCGCCTAAACTTGGAAGTGAAATGTGTCTATTTCTTCCTTTTTTTAATCTGCTTCTATACGCCTTTGTCTGCTCCTATTTAAGCATTCGACTTCTCGCATCGACTCTTAGCCACGATTCGGTTCATCGTATCTTATATTATACGTCCATCTCGTTTTCCCTCATCCGTTCATCCCTCCGCTACCAGATCGTAGACGCGACCACCCAGCCTCTCGACGAGAATTTACAGGACGTACGGTGCAGCTCGCGAGAGCATTTGAACGTTTACCAGAGAACGCGTTCGCGAATCTAACGTACGTTCCACGAAACTGTTGGAGATCTCGCGTTAACAACGCGAACGGACGACCATGCGAGTTCTAATGACGCTTTGAGAAGATCGCGATGCGCTTACCGAGCGTTCTATGCCAGGTGTTCGAATGCTTTTGCGAACGGATCAAGAACAAGTCCGTCTCGAGACGTTCTCATCCTTCAACGGTTTCGACGTGTGACGTGCGATGAGCAGGCTTGTTCACAGTGATTTGCGTCTAGACGATCGTTCCCGACCCCCTGACAACAGAAGTTGAGCGTGTACCGCCCCCCGCCCAGTAGTAGTGTAACAACGTTTCTTTTGTAACTGGCTAATCTGCTCTTGGAAGTTTCACAGATCGACGTGCAAATCCGATTGATCCCTAAAAACGTAGAGTCGCTCGAACCTCGGGGAATCGTTGGATTTACCAACCGATCCGCCCACCCGCGCGCGTGTCGTTGCTTCTCGGACAAGGAGATTCGTTCTTCCCCGGGTTCGTTCACCCTTTCCGTCTGTTTATCTCGTTCTGCTCCTACACAGAGCCCCGAACGACCGATGTTCCGACGTCGATGGCGTGTAACGTCTAAAACGAAGCGGGGGAAGACGAGATCTCTCGCGGTCGAGTCGGAACCAGATTACTTTTGAAGAAGCTCAGTTCTTCTTTCGTCGCTCGTTCAACTTGCCGTTCGCGTTTTCTCACAGTTGGTAGATCCAACTGTTCTACCCGCCGTCGCGTTGAGAGAACCCTGGCACACGTAGAATTAATGATCAGGATGAAACGTCGTCGTCGTACGTTCCCTCTCGCTCCTCCTCGTCGACGAGTTCGACGCCGAGCAACGAGTCTACTCGTATCTCCGGGCGAACTTTCGAACGAGTCGTACGATCGATCGCGCGAATCTCTGTACGTCCCGCGAGAAACCGAGGACAGGAACGGAGAGAAGACGGAAAACGATGAACGACGGTCCGGCCACCGTCCTTCTCACTCTAGGATCTAAAAATCTTCGATTGCTCGATCGGTGACGTTGTCGGAATGAAAACGAACGTTCGACGGAGCGTAGCGAGCGGAGCGTTTCGACGGTGCGCCTTCCTGTTCCTCACGTTTAACGCCCCGCTGATTGGTCGGTTGCCTGTTTAGAGCCACGAGGTCGGGATGAAATCCCTCGTAATGCTGGACGAGCAAGGCGGTAAGCCACAATTCAATCTAGACATACAAACATTTAAACTTACGAAACGTCTCTTACAAATATATATATCCGTCAAGCGTATAAAGTTCAGCTTTTGATCTTGACCGACACTCAAAGAAAACCGATCGACGACCAATTTTTCTATTCTACGCATTCCATTATTATTATTATTATTGTTATTATTATTATTATTATTATTATTATTATTATTATTGTTATTAATACAATTATTATTGCCCGTACGTCGTCCCGATCCGTGCGTAATATTCCCATGTACGGACACACTCGATCACGCATAGACATCGTATACTATTTATTATGCACACCACACTGATTGCGCATCGTAATCGTCCAGACACCGTGCAACCCCGACGTGGGTCGAGATTAGCTTTTACCGGGCCAGCACCGGAAAGAGAACACTACAGATTTGTTCTACATCGACGTCTATTCACCACCCCGTCACACCCCTCTTCGAGACGTTCAAATCGTTTACGTTCGAACGGTCACGTCGATTATCTTCTCCCTCGAGTTCTCGCGTTTCTATTCTCGCACACCTTACGTCCGATTCGAACCCCAGGAAACCTCCTCTCCCGATACGTTCACACCACCCCTTTTCCTCCCGATGGAACATCTCTCTTTCTCGATCATCGCTCTGTGTACGCTCTCCAACCACCGCTACCTTTATTTTCTCCGTTTCATGTTTTCTCATCACTTTTCTGTACCTCGTTTACTCTTCCTCGCCGATTATTTCTATCTTCGTTGCCTGTCTCTTCCTCTCTCTCTCTCTCTCTTTCTCTGTGTCTATCTGCCTGTCTGATTCTCTCTCTCTCTCTTTGTCCTCCGCCTGCTTCCCCCTATTCTGAACGACTCCGCTTCCTTCCGTGAACGTGATCTCACGAAGGCGAACAAACAAATGAATATAGATACGAGGATAAGAGACGAGTAGACGTAGAACGACCGAGAGAACGTCGTAAAAGAGTACAGACGAATTCGGGTCGCACGACACCGCGTTCTCTTCGAGACAACGACGAGTTAAAAGAAAAGACGCATCCCTCCGTTGAGTTTCGGCACGGTGTAAGTCGACACCTGATCGCAACACTCTTGTCAGAAACGCATTCGTTGAACCGGCACATTATATACTGTTATACATGCATCAGCGCGTCACGCGTCTATATACTCTGTCGACGTATAAATTTGAATTTTGGTTGTAAAATTCGTGAGACCCAGCACCCTTAGAGTCCACCGTTACACCCCAGTCACATTACAGAACTACAATTTTACGCTCAACCGAATACCTTAGGACACCCTTCGTAGGGAGACTCTTTGGTTCAGCTGTTGCACTTTCGTTGCACTCGTTTTTTTTTTTCTTTATCGAGGATTCGTCGGCCAGAGACGAGTTCGATCGATCGAGATTGTTTCCGAATCTCTAGTGCAGATCGAACGAGCCTTTCGACGACGAATTCGTCGTAGTAGCGTCGTCGGATCGTCGTTTCCAATCGAGGAACAGTTCCACTGGTCGTTTCAAATCTCGTGATTTCGTCGTACACGTTCGATCGAACGTGAGTAAATTTCTATTATAAATATATGTAGATATCGATCGGGAAATGACGATTGGACAGAATTTTTTCGAGAGCAAAGTACTTTGGAATTTTCGAAGGAGGATCGGACCGCTTCTACGGACGAACACGTCCACTACGGGCGTGTTCCTCCCGGCCGTGTTCGTGCCGTCCGTTCTCCTCCGAGAACTAGCGTTTACTAGCGTATACGTCTCGCGACGAAGGAGGATTTTTAACGTGCTCTTTCGTTCGTACAATGAAACAGAGCAACTGGACAGAATCGAGGAGGGTATGGACCAGATCAACGCCGACATGCGGGAAGCCGAGAAGAATCTCACCGGAATGGAAAAGTGCTGCGGTCTCTGCGTTCTTCCATGCAACAAGTAGGGCTGTCCCTTTACCTATCTCGAATTTCGATATCTTCTCCACGCTTATTACAGCTCGCTCTACTCACAACTGATCGACAATTCTCTTTGACAATCCTTCTGTGTTCACGTACTATATTTTGTCGCATACTAACGATTCCCGTCACCACCACCACCACCACCCGCGTACCTCTTCGGATTCTGTTCTAGCGAGTCTTTACAAACTAATCCTCGGGACTACTTACAGTAACATGTGTTCCTCCTTTGGTGTATGTGTCTCTCTCTCGTATGATTTGAGCGAGCGTCCGTTAATCGAGGTCGATCTTGCGCAGAGGCGCGAGCTTCAAGGAGGACGAGGGCACGTGGAAGGGCAACGACGACGGTAAGGTGGTCAACAACCAGCCCCAACGGGTGATGGACGACCGCAACGGGCTCGGGCCACAGGGCGGCTACATCGCGAAGATCACGAACGACGCCCGCGAGGGCGAGATGGAGGAGAACATGGGTCAGGTGAACACGATGATCGGTAATCTGAGAAACATGGCCATCGACATGGGCAGTGAGCTGGAGAACCAGAACCGGCAGATCGACAGGATCAATCGTAAGGTGAGGAGACGATTCGCTCCGCGGCGAGACCGACGTTTCGAAGTTACGTCCCGGAAGTCGCCGCCCCTTCAGACCTTCCTCCTGCGCGTTCGCACGTCCAACGTTCGCAGCGATCGAGAGAATCTATTAAAATGCGTGGTTCGTCGCGCGTAAACAGGAGCAAGATCTGAAGCGGTTCGACCGAGTTCTATTTTTTCTCTCCACGTAGCATGCGTGGATCATTTCACTCTACGATCTACGATTCACTCAGCACGCGCTCAGAGCGATGCACGACACACGTTCGTCGTCGCTTCCGCTTTCTTCTTTACACGACCCCCTCGTCGTCTCCCCTCGCGTTTCCTACTGCGATCCCGATACCGTCACTCACGCTCCCCGGGAACTCCTCGAAACGTGGTGGAAACCACTGGTCGACGAACGCGTTCGATCTCGAGACTCGAAGGTCGAGAACCGAAGACGCGTCGGATCGAAGGTGGCGCGAATTTCGCGTTGAAGCCGATCCTCTCGCCAGCCTGGTTTCGCGCGATAATTGTCCGCCGACGATGGGCAACGCGTTCAGTCGCGTTAATTCGCGACAGAGTTCCACTCGACAGCATCGTTCCCCTTCTCTCTCCTCCACACGCCGAACTTTACCCTTTTCCCGCGCGAGCCATCGTCCCTCTACTCGGAAGATTTGTAAGACGAGATCGCGCGTATCTTCGTTCTCCTCTCTGGAGAACGTTCTTCCCTTCCGTACATGTATATTTTACACACACGTTGTTTTTGTATTGGCACGGAAGATTCTATTTGCCGAGGACGAAGCGATCGTAGCAAACGAAACGCGAACTGAAATCGAGAATGCGACGATCTCCTTGCACGCGTCGTAGTCGTCGTCGTCGTCGTCGTCGTCGTCGTCGTCGTCGTCGTCGTCGTCGTCGTCGTCGTCGTCGTCGTCGTCGTCGTCGTCGTCGTCGTTGTCGTTCAATTGACCAGCGAACGATCGTTCCGTCTTCGCGCGTTGGCATGCACGACTGCACGTGCACCGCACGACTAGCCACCTGCCCCTTTAATTATAATCCCTTTACTCGTCATGTCGCACCACCGATGTCATCCCTCTTTTTGCCACTTTTCACGGGCTGTCTTCTGTGTTCGGCCATACCGCAGTATTTTAAGCAGAGATCAATTACGACGCGATGAAAAAAGATACGACACGGAATTGAACGAGAGTGAAATAATTGCACCGCGTTTTCACACGCTTTGTCGGCCCATTTTTTCTGTCTTCTCTATATTGTACGTTTATAATTTGTTGTCTGTTGATTTCTCTGTTAATTCTTGCCTCACGTTTTCGATTGAACGATATGTACGAATTACTTCTACTTGTTCTCTTGTTGCCGCCTTAATGTGACCAAATCCAAACGATATGATAAACATCCGCAGGGCGAGTCAAACGAAACGAGGATAGCCGTGGCGAATCAGCGTGCGCACGCCCTGCTCAAGTAAAATGCGTCTCTCTGCCCACGTACCCGTCTCCTCAGAGCCCCCAGTAGTAGAAAAAAAAACCAAAAAAAAAAAAACCAAAAAAGATCGTACATGTATGCACGGACACGTGTATACGTGTGTCAGCTCCAAAAAAAAAAATATGTATGTTGTACGCTCACACGCCCACGAACCCTTCTTCTGCCTTCTCGTCGTCGGTCGGACACCGCCAACCCGTCGACCCGACTCGTTGCCTCCAACTCGATCCACCTGTTCGTGCTACAACGAAAAATATCATCGAACCTTCCGGTTTACATCGACTTATACATTACGTGTGTCTCCGCGTACTTGGCGCAGCCTCCCTCTTTTATATTGTATTAACGCCGTTTAGTTGGTGTAAACCACCCCCTGTGACACCGCGTTCCGTCATCATGTTCTTGCCAGTTTGTCGTGTCCAGCTCGTTTCGATGCTCACACAGGTATATACACGTATTTGTTACCATATGTATGTACGTACATGCATCCGATACACACACGTACGACGCTGGTGCGTACGGGATCGTTTTTGATCGACCGGCGAACGGCCTCGGTACTTATGTTTCGCTCGATCGAATACGAGAACGTCACCCGAACGTGTGACGTTTCTTTCTTCGCTGTTAAAGACGGAACGTGCCAGCATCGTCCGACGAGACAGAAACGAAACACTCTACGTATTAACGTTTATTCTGATCCTTTTGCAATCTTATTTGCCGGATGAAACCCCACGGGGTCGGATGCACGTGCTCGTCGCCGTCGTCGAGTCGGACACGTACGAGCTCTGTTTCCTGGTAGAGCTCTTCGTCGTCGATTCGATTCGTTTGTTCTTCGTACGACGGGATCACGGAAGACGTTCGAACAACGATTTTTTTTCCTTGGAGAATCTCAGGATTTGGAATTTTTAATTAACGAGGATCGAAGAGCTTAGGAGCAGCAAACGGAGAGGTGGTACGAGCGACGATCGCGTTGACTCGTACTACTTCTTCGGCGACTTCTTGCGGCGACGAGCGATGCGCCGCGACACCGTTGCGAAAGCGTACCGTAGATACGCGGAGTAAACCGAGTTAACGTGGTGGACGGTAACAAGATCCTGACACACGGCTTAGTTTTTAGTTACGATCTTTTCGTTTGTCTGTTTTTTTGGCACGCAGGGCGAATCGAACGAGACGAGGATAAAGGTGGCCAACGAGCGAGCCCATCAGCTACTCAAGTAAGGCCACTCTCGACCACCTGCACCCCGTCGGCCACCAACGGCACCAAAATACGACCATCGACACTGTATCACGACCACCACTATACCGACAACAACAAAAACAGTAACAATTGAAACAGTGACTCCGATATCTACAATAAAATCCAATACCACTTATAGATACTGCGACTCGTGCTCGCGGGTCCCCATCTCATTTATTACGATTCATTCGATCATCGAAGATCAGAGTTGACAGGTCCGGGTGAAAGAGGGAGGGACGCGATTTCTTTTTCATCCCCAACTTCTTCGCTCGTCCGTTTTGTTGCATTTCAGTTCGCGAGTGTTTGTCAATAATCTCTGACAATTGCAATTTACCGATCGTGATCGATCGTGATCGATCGATCTTCGAGCTTCACGTTTTCCGAGAAATAAATACCATTCGTAACTTCAATTTTGAACATGTCGCTTGCGCGTAATACTTTTATTAATACACTTTCAAGTTTCGTTCCTCTTCTCTGATCCACGATCGGTTTCTAGAAAACGTGTACTTACGAATCCCCATCTTTAACCCTTTAGAGAGGGCAAATTTTCGTCTGTAGAGTATCTGAGACCAGCGGATAGACGAGAGTAAATAAATAATTAGTTTATTAACGAGTAAAAATATCTAAGCGTAAACGAAGACGGTCATTAGAATAGTGACAGTCGAGTCAATTCAGCGAAGCTCGAACAGACCGCCTGAGAAGAGCCGGTGAGAGGAGAGGCAGAGAGCGAGAGGAAATCACGATTTCTCTCCTCGATCGCACGTTTACCCAAGTTCTTCCTCCCCTCGTGATGTAACGTTTACACTTTTGACGATTTATCTAAAACAAGTTTCTAAAGTACGTAAGAAGAGCATTAAAATTAGGACAAGGACTAGACCTTGTCGAGTATCGCCTGTCTAAGGGTTAAAGATTATTCATCGTGCGGAAGACGATATATATATATATATATCAGACTGCAGATTTTTCCAAATCCAAATTCAAACGTTTCTCACGATCGACGAACATGAAATCTATATCCTTCAATTATGTCTTTACGACTACGCACCGCAAGTGTCCATTGTTTAAGAAGAGAAGAAACCGTTTCCGCGTGAAAATCCGCAGTCTGCGTACCCTGTTGTCGTATAAAAAGTGACACAACTGTTTCTGTCAGATTTACCGTCGAGGAGAGTGACACTCGTCAGAGGTATCGTTTTCTTAACTTCCTTTACTCGTTTCGAGTTGTGCCACTTTTCAAGGCAACGTTACAACGACACACGAGGAAACGAACATCGTAGGGGCGCACACGTTCACACACACACACACATACGCTATAGTCCTCTACCCAACTATTTTGCAATAAATACACACGCAGATACACACATATATATACGTACAAATAATAGACACGAGTCAGAGATAAATGTACACGTGCGGAACGCAGACGGTACAGAGATCAAAAAGAGAGTTTAGAGAGCGTAGATCGCACAGCGTGTGGAAATGGCACGCGTGAACGATGCATACGCACAGCGAGCCCCCGTAGGTAGATACGTATACGTACCACGTAATTTGTTATCACGATTCTAGAGTTTTACGACCAACAGTAACGAGAGCAAAAAAAAGAGAGAGAGAGAGAGAGAGAGAATATATTCCGTGTACAGTAGATCGATACTTTGGGCAGAACCCGCGAGGCGTGTATGCGCGCGTTCCGATGCGAAATAGGGAATCACGCGATTGGGATGCGTGCCCTTCGATTCGGAGGGATCCGGACGTCTCTTAGATCTCGAAAAATTCTATGCCTTTGTTCGTAGTGGGTTCAGAACGAACCGTCGGTTCTCACGGTCGTGTACGTAATCGTAAACGATGACGAGATTTCCGGATACCGGCGAACGACGGTGCACGCGTTCTCATGATACGGGATTGCGAGCGTAAATATCGTACGGATCGAGGGAGCCTGAGAAACGAAGTAAAACGAGGATTAGATTCGACCCGACGAGAACCGTCGAGTTTATCCGCTTATCATTTTTCTCGACGCGTACCACGTCGAACGAGGCAGCCGACAGATAAAGTTCGGTCGTCGACGAGGAACCGCGGAACCGGAAGGGAACGCGACGAAGAAGAGGAACAGGAAGGAGGAGTAGAAAACCGCGCGCAGAGAGGGTGGAGAGCGAGGAAAGGGTCGAACAGAGAAGGTGGAAGGGAGACAAAGCGGAAGAGGATCTGATGAACCACGAACCACCGACGAAGAACAGGCGGACGACGTCATGAAGAAGGAGAGGAGAGGGGTATTGGAAGGGAACGGAACGAAGGTGTTTAAATGTGTAGATAGAATTTTGTTCATCGTTTTATCTCTCGACTCACCGTAGAGCGTAGATCGATTCCGTTTCTAGCAGCCTCGCGCACGCTCGACACGTCGCGCCGGGGTTGTCACTGTAAGGTTCAACTCCAAGAGAAAGAGAAAAAATTGATGAAACGAAACCACGAGTCAGATAGGCAGAGGAGCAAGACGAAGATGACGATAGGAAGAAGATTGTACATTATTGTATTTACACGAAGCGAAGTACCTCTACTAAACTTGTGTCGTACCAGCGAGCGAACGAGAGAGAGAAAGAGAGCGAGAGAAAGAGAGAACGAACGAGTATATTTATCGTGGGATTCCCACCCGCCCCGCCGTTTCGGTTTCCGTTTTCACGATCCGCCGGTATCCGCGTCGCTCTTTTCATCCGATCTGGATCCTCGCGATCCGCGCGCGCGGCTCGCGCTTTTATTTCATGCGTTTTTCCATCGATCGCGCCCGACCTTTCGTAATTCCCAGCGAAAACCGCAAAGTGTAACTGTGATCAATAATTTATTAATCCCTTGACGCTTGCCTCGTACGTATATGCGCCCCACGCAGTTGGAGCATTAGCGACAGAGTCGATTCACTACTTATATAGACGACGTTAATTCGGTTTTCCGTCATCTCCTCGATTACCCACGTGAACCGTCTATTTTTCCGGGTCATCGAGGGATCGATTAAAAGAAAGAGAACGGAGGAAAGACGTGGCTACCGCGCGGATTCTACTCGAAGATAAGGAACGTTTCTCGAAGCAGCTGTCAGCCTTAACAGTATTCACGTCACTTTACACTTACCTCTTTAGCTTTAAGAGAACGCATACCGAGACAGAGTACGAGAGAGAAAGAGACACGTTGCCCCCCGCCCCACGTTTCCAAGCCCGAGTAGTATCGAAATTATAATGATATCTATACATAGCGAAGAGAGAAAGGAAGAGAGAATGAACGCTGACGGAGTATGAACAGAGATTTTGAGACGCAAATGTTCTTTTTGTAGATCTCGTATCGGTGAAGCGAGGACGATACGTGTCTATAAGTCTTATTAAGAGAGACGACGAGTGAACGATGATTTTCGATTATTACACGTGTAATTACGTATCGTACGTGTAAACTTTTTTCTTGAATTTACCACATTATTAACTGCATATAAAGTATACATATATACATATATAAATATACGTACGCAATGCATTATATCGATATTGTATAAAATATCGTAAAGGGTAACCGCCTTTGGAGTCGTGCGCCGCGTTCAAGAGTCGAGCACAAACAGAACAGAGAAAGGAAGTATATTACGCGTAGCTCCTTTCGATTTCGCTTGTTGTACGCTTGCTTTGGTTTTCATCAGACGAATTAAGAATGGTAGAAATATGTGAGAGAGAGAGAGGGATGGCTCATCAAAATCCTTGGACGCTTCGCCGGACGAACGTGCTAAGAAGAATGAAAGTGAGAGAGAGAGAGAATATTTAATGAGCGAGGGAACAAATGAAAATGAATGAGAGTGACAGAAATAAATAACGATGATTGTGATTGTTGACTCGAGATCGTTGGGCCTATCGTAATAATTTACTTTGAAAGCAGGAGAAGAGATATACAAACGATTATAAATAGATATAAATACTATGTAATTGCATATACGTGCGTCGGAACGAGAGCGCGGTGAGCCCCTCTTCTTAGAATATTAGTAGTCCTTTAGAAATAGGAAACGAAAATAAGAGAGAGAGAAAGAGAGAGTGTATGAGAGAGAGATGGGTGCGAGAACAGGCAACCTTGTTTGCGAGCGGATAATACATCGTTATATAAAATATTAATGTATACATATATTATATGATAACGGGATCCAGCAATATTATATTGTTATTTCGTCGTTACTATTTATCACCGCCTATTCGAGGAATTATATTACGTATCTATTTTACAAAGTTAAAACCGTTGTCCCTCGTTTCTCAACGAGTGACTGACTCATATCGAACCTGTCGATGGGTCTTACGCGGCGATATCCGTCGATTTAAATACCTATTGTCACAGACAAATGTATAGAGGAAAAAAACAGAACATGAATACATGCAGATTATAAATAGATAGACGCGTAGATAGATCGAATAGGAGAAATTGAAAGAAGAACGTGACCGCGGATAGGAAGTGGAATGGTCCACGGTGTGAATGGGACATCGAGCGAACGACGAGGAGAAATTAAAGTAGTGATGAATTTCGATCATAGAGGATCGAGAGAAAGAAGAGCCGGAAACTGTTGAAAATCGTTTGTCCACGTTTATTCATAGTTTACGGGTGCGTGAAACGTTTAATGTCTAGCGAAATGTTGGAATTATTACGACTTGCGAATCGAAAGATTCTTCCTAAAGACACGAATTGAAGTCGCACGTAGAACTTCCGACTCTTTTTTTCTCGCGTAACGAGACGAGTGCGATGCACGCCGAAAACGAGTTCGCAACGATACCGCAGAACGCATGACTGCGATAGAAAGAAGGAAACAAATGTTTAAAAAAACAAATTGGGACCACCGTGCAGAAGTGCAAGGTGCTCCGACACGAAGACGGCCGGTACGTCGTGACACTAGTTCCACGTCGTCGTTCTCGACTGCGAACTCGCCCCGGTCGCGTTTCGACTTCTTCGAAGCGCAGAGAAAATGTGAAAATGATACCGAGGAGGAGAGCAGTCGTGAACATTTGAAATGAGCAAAACGAAGAAATAGAGCAGAGTAAAATTATTAAAGCTGGTTTGAACACGAGAGAGAGAGAGAGAGAGAGAGAGAGAGAGAGAAAAGTGTTGGGAGCAGTCAGACAAGATAAATACGTGAGGAAGAGAATTGTAAAAAGCAGACAAAGCGATGATTAAACGAAAGATTGAATCAGCTTCTCTCTTTTTAGTACCAATATACATATTGTCGCTAGTTGTATTACAGAGACGTAAGAAGTATTCTTCGGCAGTACCATTATAACAAATGCCTGTGTATTTTACTTCTCGGCAAATAAACCATCGAGCATTGTACTGGCAACGTTTGTGGTAACGTTTTCTCTATTTCATTTTGCACGATCCACGCTCCGCCGAGTAGACGACGGCAAATAGGAAATTTCAATGTGCCGTTCCGATCACCGAGAATAAAATAAATACGACGGTGAACGAATACTTTTTGTGAGCACAGCGCACATTTTTGTGATCTACGCGTTTTTACGACTCGTTCATCGAGCGATGCCTATAAGAATGTTTTACAGGCGGCCACCGGTGCTGGAAAGCTTCCGAGACGAAAGCGGATCCGTCCCGAGCAGCGTAATCCTCTCTTGCCGTTCTCATAGGTGGATCGCGGAACCATCGAACGTCCCGAGGAGGCTCGACGAGAGATCCGCCGGAAGAGCTCGGACTTGGTTGAACAGGACGATTGCACACGCTACATCGTCGTCGCTCTCGCGGTGACACCTTTGTCTCTCGAGTCCACGGATTCGGTACCGGCGGCAAGGGAGGTGGCGGAAGAGGCACGCGCTGCGGTACTTGCGAGTTCCTCTTCCGAACTCTGTCTATGTTCGCCAACAGACGATAAGACGGTGGGACGTCGTTGCACTTGAGTCGCGCTACGACGTTGCTTCGTCTGACGTTCGAGTTTCTCTCGACCGCGGGACCATGAATATTCTTGAACTCCCTTCGGACGCGAACGGCTTCTCTTCTGGCCAAAGTGTGTTGCAGAGTACCGCGGAATCTGTCGTAAATATCCGTAGAACTCGCCTTCGTACGACTCCTCTTCGTAACAACCGATCTCGAGCCGCATCTACTGCCGTCCGAATTGTCGGCTCCTCCGCTCTCTCTGTGTCGCGGATTTCGATCGCTGCGTTCCCAGATCGCGCCGAATCTTTCCAATACCTTTATTCGTCTGCCGGAGTTCAGGTTCGCCAGTATGTTCCGATTAAACGCGCGATCGACGATGGTCTCGGTTCTCGAAGACCTCGAAAGCGCGGTCTTCTCGACAGGTGTCTGGTCTTCGTCCCGTTCATCCTCCACGTCCAGAACTATCGAAAACGGGGGTGGAGGCGGCGGAGGCGGTAAGCCGATCGACGCGTCGTTCGATGTCAGGGAGAAGACCGACCGGTGATCCCTCGTCACGACGACCTCCGATTTTGCTACGCGATTTGGAAGAAGCTTCTCTTCTTCTTCCGCGTCGATCTCTTCTTCTGATCGCCGCGCGACTCTTTTCCCTCGCGAATCCTTCGACGAGAAGACCGACTTCACGGCTGGCAGACTCTTCGATTTAACGTTCGAGATCTTCGATCGTATCTTCGTCGTGACTTTTGTGTCACTCCTCCTGTTCTTACAGCGTCGTGTACTCGCGTTTTCTTGGTCGGAACCCTTTCTGGACGAGACCGGTAACATTCGTCTCGATCGTCTTCTCCGCGGATAGACGGTTCTCGTATGACCGGACAAGTCGTCCGGCTTGAAGAATATCCAAGCGTGGTAACGGGTTTTCTGTGGTCCTAAGTATAGTTCATTACTGTGGGCAGTTTGTAGGAATCGCGCCATGACCGATAAAACCATCTGAGAACGACACACACCGGGCTACATTACTCATACCTACATTCGTCACAGAACGTGTACCTGATACAAAGACGACAAAGCGAGATATCCCGCCAGGTATATCCTGATGACTTCGGCCCGGTGTATAATTTTCGATCTACATCCCTCGGTCGCGATGGTTAAATGCTTAGGATCGTAATTGTACACGGCGCTAGGACTCATGACATCGTGATGAACACAGGGCCTGGGGATGTCGTTGGAGCAACAGGAGAACGGGACGTCTACGGGTGTCGTGGATTCTTCCTCGCGCTCTTCGACTGCCGATCTGAAGAATGACCAAAGGGTGAGATATCGGAGGATTGAACGTTGAAAAAGAGAATCGTTGAACGGCACTTGGTTCGATTGTACCCACGGCTCTTCTAGCCGAGGACCCGTCTCGGCATCCTCCGATCCGTCCGCCGAGACCCTCAGCCACGGGACGCGGAACCAATCCTCGTAACTGTTGTCCCCGCAGCATTCGAGTTCCGTTTGCACGGCGTCCACCCTCATCTTGACGGCGATATCGCTGCTGTATCTCTCGATAGCACCCGCCAGTCCGTCCCTGCACTTCTGTTGGAATCCGCTCGACAGAACGAGATACGTCGCGTTCAGGATCGCGATCAGGAATCCCGAGACGAGGCAGGCGACTACGTGGAGGAACAAGAGCCTGTTCACCTCGTGGGGGTCCACGGCTCCGTCGACCCTCTGCTGGTCTTGTTCCAGATCGTCTCTAGCCGGCTCCAGCCGCAGCAGCAGCCAGCATTTTATACCCAGAAAATAGGCAGGGGAACAGGAAAGGGCCGCGAGGATGATCACCGCGGTCCACGCGTGACCGTCACCTACTCGTCGTGATCTGCTCGTTAAACCGCACGTACGAACGACACGTGTTACGCGAATCTTATTTATTTTGTTCAAAGTCCGTCGCACGATCGGTGATCGAGAGGAAAAGATTCATGTATCGTTCGTCGTCGTTCTAATCTCCGAGCGTGGGCTAACCTGGAGCGATGAGGTTCAGATGATCGCCGAAACCCCTCTCGAATCGTACGGCCCATAAAATAGCCAGAACGAGGGCGAGCATCCCGGCCAGGTTCATAGAGAAAACGGTAAAGTAAAGAGCTTTCACGGAGGGCCAGCTGTAAACGGCGTTTACCAGGCCCATCTATCGCGCGGTTTATGATGGGTAATCGTCACTCGTATCCAGCTTGTCATCGTCGACAGGTCGTGCGTGCGTGCGTATAGATTCCCTTTCAATTAACGCTTTACGTGCGGATAATGACGCTACCTATCCGGACAAAGAATTGTCAAACGTACACCCGGTTCCTTCGATTCTGTTTCCCCTCTCCTACCCGTCGTTAATCCATATCGAGAGCTGGAATGAAAAATGACTACTGATATCGCACAGATATTCGCGTGACGCCGATTCCCGTATCTCCAAGGGTTTAGGAGTTATTGAGGAAAAACTAAATTGCACCAAATCTGGCGGTTCTGGCATTGACGAAATTCGACCATTTCACCGTAAAATCAGCGAACTTTTCACAAGAAATTTCGTTCTCCCTCAATAACTCCCGAACGGATGGTCGTAGGGAGATGTTTGTGGTCTCATTTTGTAGGGGACGACGAGATCTACAATTTCTGCTTAACAAGAATTCGCTGGTGCCAATAGTTAACGAGTTATTTGCAAAAAACGAAAAACAGTTTTTTGCAAATTACTCGTGAACTGCTGATGCTAGTGAGAAACTTTTACATAGAGATTGTAGATCTCGTCGTGCTCTATAAAGTCGTCCTATATACGTCCCCCTAAGTCCATGCGTTTGGAAGTTATTGGCAAAAAACAGAAAAACAGTTTTTTGCAAATAACTCGTTAACTATTGGCACCAGCGAATTCTTGTTAAGCAGAAATTGTAG